TAAATAAATAAATAAATATTACAGGTAAAAGGATGCATGCATCAACCTTTAGTGTAAACGCACTCATCCTCTGCAGCTGATTTGCCACATCACGGAGAAGTACACTTTGATGGAAAGGTTCAGCTTATCAAAAATTTGTTGCCTTGAACAGTTCAAGATGATTTTCGAGCGAACCACCACCTCCGCTTCAAGGGCATCGCTTCGGGCTCCTCGTAGAGAGTGGCGTAATGAATGCGTATGTGGCCTATACAATGACTTGCGGTGGCGGGTAACGGAACTTCTCCCCTATCGCGGCATTCTCCCTTGCGGCTTGCGGCAAATGTCACTGCAATTACCGTACTCCCGCCAATTGATAGGACGCGGAATTTTTCGTTGATTGCCTTGCTTTTTTATTAGATTTAATCGTTTTTTCTTCTGTTTCTTTTTCGTTTTCGTGTTTATTAGACTTGATTAATTAGAATGACCCCTCCTACATAAACGACGATCAAGACCGCATTGGAATTGAAAAGAGCGGCCAGCCAATCCAAATAATTAAAGGACTCCTTACCTCACAAATTGCGCGCTCCAATCTTCCATCGCAATTCCGCGATAGGCGGCGGGTGCGGAGTCTGCGACGCCGTGTTAGGGGAGAAGTTCCCGGACCCTGCGGTGGCTAGCCGATGTACACGTCAGTGCTTTTATCCTCAGACGAGTCTGGTACCAAATAGCCGACCCCGAGAGCGAGGAAGGCTTGGTTGGCCTAGGCGGATATTGATCCGGGATCCGAACCCCTGACGGTGCGTGTGAGATAGTGCGCTACTTGCCTCCACACCACCTCCGCCCTAAATTAAACTTAACAGTATCAAACCATTCACGAGTACAAATCATTTGGCGACACTGCTAAAATCTGGATGAGTTTATTCGTTACAAAATCGACTCTATCATTCGCGGTATCATCTTCTACGCCCGGGTATTGGACCGAGACCATAAGCTTCGGTGAAGTGGTAGCAGAGGAAACTGAGCATGGCGACAAGTAAACACCAAAAACGCATTTCTGCCTGAAAAAAAATTCAAAAATTAATCTAATTTCAATCAGAGCTTGACAAAAGGGCTACTGAGTGATGTTTGCTCGAGGAATCAAGCCGAAGGTTCGTATGGACGGACAGAATAGAGCGCTGGACCATCAGGATGTATTTGGACTTGTTGGCATTCATTGCCCTGGTGTATTTTTGGCCATGACAGGATTCACCTCGCTATAGGGACACGAACTGGAACTGGAACAGTGCATAAAAACGTGACTGAGAGCTAAGAGCTCTGCTTTTATGTGCTTAGGTCCTTTTATATGATAGTTAGCAATTCAGATGTTGTTGAGTTGTAGGCTCAAGCCTGTGCTTTTAAAGATTTCCAATTTGGTGACACATGAAAGTGAAAAGCTCTTGTATGGGAGAATACCAAAATGATTTTAATTGCCTCTCAATGACTCTGGTTTTTTGAATCGTTAAGACAAATGCATCTTCACGGCTACTATGAATGTTAACGATTGACTTTCAGACGATTGACAAAATGCCCAACCAAAAATAAAATCACTTCCAAACGATATTATAAATACAGGACACACATGCCAACGCTATGGCAGATGCACTCCTCCTCTGCAGCTGTTTTCTCACGTCGCGAGAAGAACACCTCGACAAAAAGGCTCAACACCGCAATCAAAAATTTGTTGCTTTGAACAGAGTAAGATGATTTCCAAGCCAACCACTACCTTTGCTCCTTCACCATTCTGGTTCCCTCAGGGATAAGTAGCACGGCGAGTACCACATGTCTTCAAGTGGCACAGCTGGCATCTATTCCTATTAAAAGGGGTGCGCTTCGTTGCGCGCATCCGTCGAAACTAGGTCACGTCGCAGCCGTCGCACGCGGCAGTNAGAAGATAACACGGACGAATGCAAATCGTTTGCTCCACTGACACTTGGTGGTACTGTAATGTCATCTTGAAACCTCGGTGGGGTGGAAACCGCGCGCGAACTGGGTGGAGTGACCTACTGTTGACGGACGCGCGCAACGGACGTTCTCCTACTCAAAGTGAAGGACAGCAACGGTGTCAACGAAAACTACTCACCATAAGAATCTTATTTCTTCATTTATTCTCAGATATTCGACCTATTCAGCCATCAGCACTAGCAAAGAACAGAATCGTTTGCATACACTCACCAGTGCATGGCATTCGTGATGGTGGCCGAACCGGTGATCTGATTCCATTTGTTGATGTTAGTGTGAATACTGATATACAAAAATTCCTTACGATTCTGCAAGGAACCGATTCCTTTCTCAAACGCAATATTCCTTTTTTCACGCAGCCTCTATGATTCCATTAGTCTTAATGGTTAAGGAGCCACTTTGAAGATGCCTAAATTCACTTTGTATTCTAGCATTCAAAAGCATTTGGCTCTCATCTGCCTCTGGATTGATAAATTTTGAAAGCATCATGAATCAACCCCCTCAATTCAATAGCATTTGAACTGCTAACTATCACATAAAAGGGTACAAGCCTATAAGAGCAGAACTCTCAGCTCCCACTCGTGATTCCTGCACTGTTCCAGTTTGTACTCGAACTCGTGCCCATATAACGGGTAAGATCCTATCGTTGAAGTGGTTATACCGTGGCTAGCAATGCCAAAGACATGCTGGTGATCCAGCAATCCCTTCTAACGAATCCTACTCAGCGATCCTTTTGACGAACCTAAACGAGAACACATCTATAATACTTTTGAATTGTTTTATTCAGGAAAAAAATGCAGCTCTGGTGTTTTCTGATCGCAATCCTCCCTGTCGTGTGCTAGGGTTGGTGGCGGGAAGATGATGATCCAGATGATGATGATGATCACCTCGTCCAATTGGACCCTGGATTAGAGAAGGACACCCGTGGCTGCTTTATCCAAGTTTTAGTTTTGGCCATAGGCCTCCTGATCCAGTGACCCATCAGCTTTTGTAACGAATAAAAAGTCATGAATGGTTTGACGGCAGTTCAACTTGAAGAGTTTGTAGGGAATTGTTGAATGATCGCCATTTTCTATGTGCTAGCAGCAGTTTCTCAGTGGAAACCAGACTATTAGAGGTGTGGAACAGTCCGAAGCGCAACCTCATCGGCAGGGCTGTCCTGCTTGAGTGCACTACAATCACCCTTTCGCCACTCAGTTTTTGTTTTGCACAATCAATGAGACAAAAAGGAATTTCATCGGTTGCCGTTGTTTATCACTAAAAAAGGTCTGAAATGGCAAACGCTACAACGGAAAAAGGTTTAATTGTTGAGGATGAAAGAAGAGTTGAATAAACTCGAGTTCTAGATTACGCAGGGCACTTGGCTCTGAAGTACGGCAGTAGTTTCAGTGCCTATGTGGCCTACACACCAACCAATGGTCCCTACAGAGAAAGCAGCTTTATTTTTTCAGACGAGTCTGAAAACAGTCGTATGTTATTGCAAAATAGGGAAGAGGAAAAAGGGGTCCCCTCGACTGTTGATTGTACTGATCAATTCTCATCGATAATATGAAAGTGTAGTCGAAAGAAAGAGGAAAGAAGAGAAAAAAACCAACATTCCGGTTGAAAGGAGAAAACGTGCGTAGGAAATGAAAACGCAATTTTTTTTACAAAAATCTTCGGTGCTTCTCGGTATATAGACCCAAACTGATTTTTTACCTGTAATTGTAATAGGTACCGACCTTCTTGAATCGTTTTCCTGCATTGCAAGCCCGTATCACCTAAGTGTGTTCCTGTCACGAACCGTTGAACTCGAGCAGAGGCTCCTCGCCTGGGCCTTTACGTCATTCAGAGCTTTACGGGAGAAGTCTTGTTCAATGAGTCGGTATCCTATTCCTACATTCCTACGATTCTAGCTATGTTGTGGACTGATATAACCTACATTGATCTACCCTAAGCATAATAGAGTGTTCAACTCAGACATAACTCGGAATGATGGGTATCTTTGTTTTTAGAAATCCCTCCAGACCCGTTTGCTGACTTTTGGACGCGAACCTACCAGTGCCAGCAGTCGCTGTGTAAGTTTCGGTAGATAAGCTATCTACGCCAATAAAAAAGGTGGTTATATAGGTTTAGGCGAGTCCCAACTGCACGTATGCAAGAGCTTGATCCAGGTTTTGCTTGAACTCCTACCTTGCAGAATTCACCTACAATCAGAGGATCTCTAATCAACCTCTTCTGTGTATCATGGATAAGAAGTATCCCAAGTTGTTGAGAAGGAAAAATTACTATGCCAATCCGCACAAAAGTCGGAAAATGAAGAATCTGCGGCAGATAGCTCCTACTGAAGCGTTCAAGTATCTGAGGTTCATCCAGAACAACACAAGGTCCGGATTGAGCATGAACAACAAGACGCAGACCAAGCGAATCTTAAGGATAATGTACTTCTGAGACTGAAATACATTGAATGGCTAGAACAAGATGAGATACCATCCAATGGTACTGCGGAGCAGATTCTTTGGTCACAATAACCCTTACTGCCTAACTTCATAGCGCCCCGACGCGTCGACTGTGACAGGTAATTCTTCATCTGACAACAGCTCACGGTATTTTACTGAGCATGGAGGCGTGTGCACTTCTTTCTTCCAGCTTATCGCCGTCTACGGGTGATAAGAGTTGTTTCAGTCGTATGTTTGGCTCCCCAAGACTTCCTATTTTTCATCAGCCTCTTGATTTTCATGAATTATTCGTTCTTAAAGTTCCAATTCAGGGATGCGTGGACTTATTGTGCTGTCAGCGTGCTTGGTTCTGAGCAGTTTTGCCAGCCCAGTTCTTCAGCAGGTTGAAGCAGTGAAAGGAAAAGCTACTTCGGAATTGGTACGGACATAAAACAATTATAACAGTATACCGACTAAGAAAGAATGTCTGGATCATTCCAGGCCTCACTTGCATATGCCCTCGATCTGTCCGCTCCGGTTTCTCTAGCAGGATTTCAGTGCATTCGCAACAATCTTTACAACGTTGCCTTCATCAGGTCGGTCTTCAACGAACCGCTTCAAATTCCGACTGTCCAGTTTATTTTTTCTTCAACTGATTCAGTTTTTTGTCCAAATGCCAGCTCAGGAAATTTTGCCTGTCAGATTGAACTAAGATACCCTTCCTAAACGAAACATTTCATTGGTGGGCAATCAACTAATGTCAGTCGTCACCGTTACCTCACCTTACAAGCATCAGCCACTACTTTGACTGAAGCCTTCGATCCCTACGCAGCACTTGCTTAGTGTATTCGGGTCTTACAGGGCCTACACTCCAGTCGGGCAAGGGCAAATTGACGCCTATGCAGTTGCCAACATCCAGAATGCGAATGCTGGTGAGAAAATAGCTCAGCTAGAGTCTCTCATGCGATGAGGTCAAAAAATTCTTTGTTTCTGAAAGCATTCTAATTGTTCAGCTGGAATGGGCACTGAAGTCTACATGACCCCTCAGCCCAATTCGGCTAAAACTGGTGGCCAGCAATTCGATGAGATGTACAACAACCTGAGAAACTCGAACATCAATGTCCAATCCGTATGGATTCAGGTAATCATGAC